GCGGCCCCCTTCCACGATTGGAACTGAAGTAAGGCGACAAAGGCCCAATGGGCTGTGAGAACGGTCCTCGGCGGGTTGAGGGGCGGGGATATGCAAATATGGTTTGAAAAGCCGGCGGGAAATCTGAGTTTCGCGGGAGGACCTTGGCGCGTAAACCGTATCCCTTCATTCATTGTCAGCAGCAGCTTCCTGGAGCCATTTTTCAGCTGCCGGCCGCAGCACCCGGGCTGCCGCCGCCGCCTCGCAATCCGTTGCATCGGCCGCCCCCGACGCCTCCATCCCCCCTCGGGGCCCGATATCCGTGCGGCCGGGACCCTCCTCTCTCCAGAGCCCCGATTATTTTTGGCCCCGGGGGCCCGTGCGGTGCGGAAAAATAAAAAGAAAAGAGAGAGAAGGGGCTCGGAAGCGTCGGGCGGGGAGGAGAGAAGGAGGAGAGACTTGGAAACTCCGACTGCAAATAATAAAGAAATTGAAAGCAATACGTTAATATACCATAACAATAAAAAGAGCAGGAGCGAGAGATGAGAAAGGGGATCCAGCCCGCCCTGGAGCAGTACCTGGTGACCGCCGGGGGTGGGGAGGGGGCGGCTGTCGTCGCCGCCGCCGCCGCTGCAGCCTCCATGGACAAAAGGGCACTGCTAGCCAGCCCCGGCTTCCCCGCCGCTGCCGCCGCCGCCGCCGCTGCCACCGCCCCGGGCGCGTACATCCAGATCCTCACCACGAACACTTCCACCTCCTGTTCCTCCTCCCTCCAAAGCGGCGCCGTAGCCGCCGGCCCCCTCCTCCCCAGTGTCACCGGCGCGGAGCAGACCGCCGGCAGCCTCCTCTACACCACGCCGCACGGACCCTCCAGCAGAGCCGGGCTGCTGCAGCAGCCACCAGCGCTGGGACGCGGCGGCAGCGGCGGCGGCGGCCCTCCGGTAATGCCCTCCCGATCCCACCGTCCCCGGCCCGGGCGGGAGGTGGGCTCAGCCCCGCGCGGGTGGGGGGCGCGCTGCGGGCCCCCCGGGCGAGCGCAGGGCCGAGCGTCGTGGGCCTCGGCGGCTGTCCCTCCTAAGAGGGCTTATTGTTAGACTGGTGGGCTCCCCCGGCGCCCGGAGGGTCGGGGGACTCGGCCCGGCGCGCGGGGAAGCGGGGATCGCCTTGGCGCGAACCACATCAAACACTCCGAAACTTTTCACGGCCCCCCCTTCTTTTCCTGCACTTTTCCCTACCCCCACTCTTCCCTCCCCTCCAACTCGAAGCTTCCTCTTTCTCGGGCGTAGGAAGGGGTCACGCCCCGGATGGAGAAGGGGGTGGGGGAGGGAGTAGTGAACTGGGGAGTGGGGGACCCCACGGGAGTGGAAACCGGGGCACTGTTGGGGCGACCGCCCTCGGCCGGCCTCGGAGGCCCGCTGGCGGCCGGGGGTCCATAAGGCGTGCACTGAGTGCCGGGGCTCTGCCAGGCTCCGGCTGTGCTTGACACATTTGGGGATCTGTAACTCCGGGCAACAAAGGGGCCCGGGGCGGCGGAGGGGTTGGGGGTGGTGGAGCCGCCGACTGGGGCGTGGGCTGCCTGGGGGCGAGGGGCTTGCGGGTACGTATTTGGGAGAATCTCCCGCTGCAGCTCATCTGTTACAGCGACTAGTCAAAGGAAAAAGAGTTCTCCGAGTGTCCCC